ATTAAAACTCTATTCAGCCTTGAAGTGATTTTAATGTTCAGAAATTCTTGTGTAAATGAGCTCGTGTCTCCACTGATATGATCTGTACCTTGGCCTGTTTGCATCCGTGCAGACAGATAAGTTTAATGTCGTACTCAAGCCCAAGAAAAGTTACACAATGCACCTTTAAATAGCAAATTTCACTTTGTAGAAAATAATGGGATAGTAGCAGAGATCAGTTGTACATTTACTTGAGTAAGAATTTGCACTTTTCTAGCAGAATATTTTTTACTTCTACTTGAGCAATATTTTAAATGAAGTAATAGTTGTGGTTCCTCTTCCCACTGTGAGTACGTGACAAAAGCTTTATCTTGACAATATAAAATGATTTATGAACATTTATGTTTCTTGCACCGTTCCTTCAGATATGATTTAGTTTTTCTCATGTTTGTGTTTGTGCTTTAAATAATGCACAAAATCTGTCATTTTCAATTCCAAATTATAAATCAGAGCTTATGTCCCTACAGTTACTTCAATAGTACTTTTCCCAAATACTTTGTACTTCTTTTACTTAAGACATATTATTCTGAAGTAACATTCCTTTTACTTGAGCATAGTTCTTGGCTTAGTTACTTCTGCATGGATCCTCTTTTAACAATTTTTACTTCCTTCTTTGTTTTGATTGAGCTGTTTCAAATTTGTGCTTGACTTCATATTTTCCTCTTTTTTTTTCTTTTTTTTATTATCACAGCTATATGATACATTATATTAGAAAAGCATTGTATTTGGCATATTATTTGCATATATTTTTCTTCTGTGGCTAATGTATTTTTTATTCTAAAATACTAAGACTTTTTGACCCCCATTTCATTTGATTTGTTTCAGCTCTTGAGGTTTCCAGTTGTCAAACAGAGTATGGACGAGAGGGAGGAAACATTGTGCTGTCTCCAGGACCAATCAAAGAAACAATCACTAAGGCGCAGTGGAAATATAATGAAAAAAAAATTGCAGACTCAAAAGCAGATATTACTGGACATCAGTTTTCTGGCCGAGAGACAATGGACAAAACAAATTACAGTTTAACATTAAAAGAGCTGAAGACCACAGACTCTGGGGATTTTACTTTTATCTCACAGGGAACATCAAGACAAAGACCCGTATACTGCATCAAACTAGTGGTACAAGGTGAGACTACAGCTATGTTTATTCATATGACCTATTACAAATTACTGTAATACTTAAAGGACCCATATTACACTGTTTTCTGATCTACTGTTGTTTCCTCAACACAAACGTACCTGGAGTTTAGTTTTTACAAAATCCTGCATTTTCAGGCAGAATTCTTCTCTTAAACAGAAAACACTCTATTGCACCTTGTGATGTCATGCGGTAATACAGGAAGGGCTCCACTGTGTTTTTAAACTTCATACCCCTTCACTAGAATCATCTGGATAATTTCAGCCCTGGAATTGCCAATCTTTACTGAACAAAAAAGTAGAAGGTTAAAGCTGTTAACTTGAAAACTACCACTACGTGACATCATAGGGTGGAAGTGGAACAGAGCATTTTGAGTTTTGGATCTGTAGACAGACTAATGATAAAGGTTTACTAAAACATGTAAATGAAATAAAACACAACTCCAGTTATACCACGACTCACAAAAGTCAGTTTTGCGTCTCTTTACAGAGGGACTCCGCCCACAACCACATTTCTAATAGAGCTGCTAAACTGGGGCAGGGGAGAGTGACTAGGATGAGGAGGGGTGGGGTTTGGAGGTATAAGGAGCACTGTGATTGGTCAAACAGGTATCCACAAACTCTGCCCCTGCAGCCATTTTCGAACAGAAAGTTGCAAATTTATTTAGTTGGCACTTAAGTTGCTAAAAATCCCAAGGAACAGATAACACCAAATACAGTCTATGATACACAGTTTAGCCGAGAAAGTGGATTTATTTCCTCTTTATTTTAAATGGCCATGGTCCTGTTCTTGAAACTGAGTCATAAACTACTGTAAATGACCCTGTTTAAAAATGTTGTCCTAGTGGATTTTTTGTTGTTGTTGTTGTTGTTGTTTTTGTTTTGTTTTTTTGTTTTTTTGTTTTGCCTTTTTTTTATTCAACATGTTCAAATACAGGGACATCAAAGACCCACAAAATCACATAAATAACACATATGATACCTGGGGTGATATGGAGTCAACTACACAAGAGAGCATAAAAACAAAAAACAAAACAAAACAAAAACTCATGCATACTTAACCAAATAAGATAAATTGTAACATGAAATGTAGTGGAGAGTGATATTGTTGTAAGTATTTTCTATAGATATTGTATATTTTAATAGCTTTTTTTGTTTTTGGCCTGTTTTATTGTTTGGAAAAAAAATGTTGTATTTCATTATAATAATTGTGACTATTTGGTTCATTTTGACTCCATTTTGTTTTGTATATGATATTTGGCAGTAATAGGCCCCGGCTGCCTGGCTAGTTCCACGTCTCTCAAAACTGCAGTCGCACTTCCTGCTCCATTCATTGTGAATTAGCCAAGTTGTGCTCAAATAAATCTATATTTAAATATCAGACAGATGACAGCAGGTTATAGATACATAATCACTCTAACTGTAAATATTTTGAATTTTGCAGAAGTCCTGACGTTCGACACCCACTGTGGCTGTCATCAACATCACCCAAACCACAAACAGCTCCTGTGTAGTTCTGACACAGTGCAGCTCAGAATTTCACAAAGACGTGAGCTACAGGTGGACAGTGAACAACAGGAACTACAATGGACCCACGCTGGAGTACCCTCTTACATCACAAGATGGCACCATTACCGTTATATGTACTGTGTCTAATATGGTCAGTGAGGTGTCAGAGAGCAAGAGCATCAACTGCCAATCAACCAAAGGCAATGATACAGGTTAGTAGTAGTTGTAGTAGTAGTTGTTGTTGTAGTAGTTGTTACCAGAGGTGGATACAGTAGCTAAAAATGTAGTCATGTAAGAGTAACGTTGCTTCACAATAACATTCAACTCAGGTAGAAGTACAAAGTAGTGGTTCAAGAAAGCATTTAGGAAAAATACTACTCGAAAGTAGATCAACTGTCTGGACATAATATCTAATTTATAATTTGAAGTTAACCTAATTGTATGAACAAAATATTAAATATTGCACAAATTCTGTTATTTTCAAAGGATAGACACAAAATGAGACAAATTACTCTCAGTGGGCAGAGAAACATTTCATTCATTCAAAGTACAGTTATTTCAACAAAAAATATTACTCAGTTAGGAGTCAAAGTATGCTGCTAGACATTAAAGCACTCTGAACAGTACAATTTCTTTAAAAAAAGTGACTCATGTAAATATAATGGTTGTTAGTGTATATATGGAAAAATATCTTAGACTTCCAGGTAAAACAATACTCACTTTTTGTCTTTTTAGTCAATTCTAATGGGCCTATTATTATTGCTGGCCTGGTGTGTGCTGTCATTCTTCTCACCCTGATAGTCGTCTGTTGGTACAAAAAAAACTACAGGTAAGATTTCAGCACTAAATCACAAGAAGAACGTTTCAGTGTTTTTCAGTATCTTTTTATTTTTTACAGAAAGGATGCCAGAACAGGTGGGTCTTATTCAGATCATTTTAAGTTAGTGGTTTGTATCATAAAGAGTTTTATTTAGACTACCAATCAAAAGTTTGGACACACTTTTTCATTCATGTTTCCTTATTTCTATGATTATTCACATGTAGATTCTCACATATGGAATGTCGGAAACAAAAAATAAACTCAAAGTAACTCCAAACTTGTTTTAGATTTTTAAAAATAGCCACCCTTTTCTTTGATCACTGCTTTGCATTTTTAGCATTTCTTGACCTTGATATGACACAGCTTGAAGTGAAAACCATTTCAGGAGACTTTATCATCACATCACTGAGAGAAGGCCAGGGGTTTGCAGCACTGTCAACAAAGTAAAGGATGGATACTTTGAGGATTTGAATAGAATACTCTTTTTAATTGTATTCTCTGTATAGCGTCTTTGAGTGTTTAGAAAAGTGCTATATATATATAAAAAATAATAGTGATGATGAAAAACATATTTAATTGAGTTAAAAACACTTTTTTTCCTTTCCTCCAATTCCATATATCATGTTTGTATCATATATTTGATGTCTTCTATATGTAGAAAATATAGAAAGAAGTAAACAAAAAAACATACAGTGAATGAGAAGGTGTGTCCAAACTCGTGACTTGTCGTGTAAACATAATCTTGATGTTTAAGTGACGCTGAAAATGACCCGGAGGATTCACCTGCCGACAATCAGCAGCAGTTGTATTCATCTCTTCTTCACAGTCAGTTCAACTAAACAAACAATTCAAATTCAACTTTATACAACTGTTGTAATAATTTAACTTTTTAAACATTATCTGCAGGTGATGTTAATGTCTATGAACCTATCAGAGGCTCAAACAGCAAAGGTACAGTATGGATTAGTAT